GCCATGGAAACATGCCTTGGGCAAGTCACACTCTCTCAGCCTCAGGAATGACAAACTCCCTATGAAGAAACCTGCCTCAAAAACCCCACGATCGGTTCACCTTCGGGTCTCCATAGCCGGAAACTACTTGAAGGCAAGAAGAAGTGAGAAATGATTTGAAGGCACACAACAAACAACAACAACAACAACAACAAACAGTTTAATGATGAGGCCAGCCTTTTTCGGAGGAATTCAACAGTGAAATATGGCAATTTTGCAAAGAGTATCCTAGCTGTGCCACAACAGAGGCTCCAGACCCTTTGAAAATGGTTCCCTTTATTTATATTTTGAATTATTTTATTTTTATTGCAAACTTGGTTTCTCGAGTATGTTGGCCTTTATAGCAGGCAGCCTTCTGGAAAGACAGCAGTCAAGAAGTCAGAGGAAGATTTAGGCTCCATCTGTTGTTGTTTTTGTTGTCGTGTGCCTTCAAGGCGTTTCTGACCCTATTGGCAGGATTTCTTCAGAGGAGTTTGCCCTTGCCTTCCCCTGAGGCTGAGAGAGTGTGACTTGACCAAGGTCACCCAGTGGGTTTCATGGCCAAGTGGGAATCGAACCTTGAGTTTCCAGAGTTGTTGTCCCAACACTCAAACCACTAAGCCATGCTGTCTCTCTCTGTCTCTACTCTACAGAGTTAATGCACATTGATGCCACTTTAACGGCCACAGCTCCATGCTGTGGAATTCTGGGATGTGTAGTTTTGGGGGCCATTTGGCTGCCTCTGTCAGAGATCTCTGGTGCCCTGACAAACTACAAATCCCAGGAAGTGGCATCAAACTGCAAAATATTGCAAACTGCAAAATATTTAATTCTGCAGTGTGGCAGCAGGCTAGGACTTGGAAGGCAGCTAGGAAAGAGCGAGAGACACTATCCCGAATTTTATATATGAAATATTTTGGATATTGTCTCATTCTTTCATAGCTATGCTTATTATTACTGTTGTTACTACTACTACTACTATTTCATATTAAATATTTCATTAATACCACCTTGATCTATGGGGAGAAGCAGGTAGGAGTAGTAGCAATAATAATAATAATGATAATAATAAGCATTACCAGCTTCTCCCCATGGATTGAGGTGGTATTAATGAAATAATATTTCATATTAAATATTTTATTAATACCACGTTGATCCATGGGGAGAAGCAGGTAGGAATAGTAGCAATAATAATAATAATAATAATAATAATAATAATAATAAGCATTACCAGCTTCTCCCCATGGATCTTGGTGGTATTAATGAAATACCTCGATCCATGGGGAGAAGCAGGTAGGAGTAGTAGCAGTAATAATAATAATAATAATAATAATAATAATAATAATAATAATAATAATAATAATAATAACAACAACAACAACAACAACAACAACAACAGGTTATTTGTGTACCTGTATTATATGATACAGTATGGTATTTTAATTGTAAGCCACCCCGATTGCTTGTCAGAGGGTCGGGGCATAAATAAATATTATTATTATTATTATTATTATTATTATTGTTATTGTTATTGTTATTATTGAGAAGAAGAAGCATTACTTCTACTACTACTGCTACCTGCTTCTCCCCATGGATCGAGGTGGTATTAATGAAATATTTAATATGAAATATTAAAGTTAGGATTGGCCATGGCCACGTCATATTTCCGATTTCTAAAGGTTGGCAAACTGGTCAGTGAAGAAAGCGGGTAGAAAGAGCATCAACTCCAGGGAAGTGTTGCTGGAGAAGAGTTTTGCAGATACTGCAGATGGCTAAAAAGATCAACAAATGGGTGTCCAAGAGCAGATCAAACCCAAACTATATTTTCCTTCTGCCCTCTT